CGATGCTAGCTCAAGGACAGAGGACACGAATTCGTTAAAAGACTGCCTTGAATCGGGACCTAATCTAAATCCAAATATACTAGACATTATGTTAAATTTTCGTAAGTTTAAGATAGCGTTTTTGTGGAGACGTTGAAAAAGGCCTTTTTGATGATAGAAATTGCTGGAGGTGATAGAAAATTTCTAAAATTTCTTTGGTTTAATGAAAATAATGACTCCTTTAAGATTATGCAAATGTGTCGCGTAGCTTTCGGTTTGACTATATCTCCTTTCATTTTGGCCGCCACTATAAAATATCACATTCGAAAATATAAAGATAAAATGCCGGACAGTTTCCAAATGTTAAATTCTTCTGTCTATGTCGATGACCTATATTTTGGAGCAGGAACGGTTGAAGATGCATATCGGTTATCTGTAGATGCGGTTAATATATTTAAGGATGCTGGGATGAATTTCAGAAAATTAAGAACTAATTCTAAAGCATTAAATGATTTATGGGTCTCAGATGGGATTAAGGAATCAGACAACAAATTAACTAGTGAATCGAATTTCTTAGGCATGATTTGGAATTCCATTGAAGACGATATAAAGTTAAATTTAAAAAAATTTAATTGACTTTTCTACTGGAAACGATTTTGCTACAAAAAGGAAACTTTTGCAAAGCATCGCCCAAATATACGATCCATTTGGATTTATTGCACCCTTTGTTATTCGGGCAAAAATTATTATGCAAGAAATCTGGTGTTCCGGTTCTGACTGGGATGAAGTCCTTCCTGCAGAGATTAAGGACAAATTCAACATTTGGCGGGAGGAACTTAATGATTTAACTGAAATATCGATACAGAGAAATTTCTTTGATGACAATCCAATGAATATAAGCCTTCACCTATTTTCGGACGCTAGTCCTAAAGCATATGGGGCCATCGCATATTTTCAGATATTGTACGAGTGATTCTAAAATTAAAACTTCCTTTATCATGTCGAAATGCAGAGTTGCACCTTTAAGAGCAATCACGCTTCCTCGTTTAGAGTTAATGGGAGCACTCGTGGCTGCTCGAATGTATAAATATTTGAAAAAATTGTTTGGTGATTTAATTGAGGATGTTTATTTTTGGAGTGATTCCGAAATCGCCATTACTTGGATTAAAGGTTCGCCAAATAATTGGAAACCATTTATCGCCAATCGTGTTACAGAAATACAGAGTATATGCAACAAAAAATTGTGGAACCATTGCGAAGGGAAACAAAATCCTTCCGATTTACTAACTCGAGGAATTAGTGCTCAGTCACTAATTAAGAATGATCTGTGGTGGCATGGGCCACACTGGTTACGTTTTCCTACTGAAAACTTTCCAAAACAAAAGAAATTAAAACCAAATTCAGAATCGTTGGAGTTAAGAAAAAGTATTATTTTGACTGCACCTGTAATTAACAATGAATCCCCAATTTTGCATATAGAAAAATTCAGTTCTTTAGGAAAATTACTTCGAATTACTGCCTATGTATTTAGATTTATTGGGAGGCTTCGGAAAAGGTCTACAGAGAATGGACCTTTAAGTGCTTTTGAGATTAAAGCAGCTGAACATTATTGGGTAAAAAATTACGCAACGAGAATCGTATCAAGCGGAAATAATTAAGTTATCAAATAAAAAATCAATTCTCGATTCTTCCATCTACTCCCTTAATCCAAGGCTTGATGAGGAGGGAATTCTTCGGTTGAAAGGTCGCATTCAATTTGCAGACTGTCACGAGAATTTAAAACATCCTATTCTATTACCCTCAAAATGCAAGTTTACCGAGTTGATCATCATGGACTCGCATGAAAGGGTATTCCATGCTGGAGTTAATTCGACACTAACTCAGATCAGAGACAAATATTGGATCATTAAGGGAAGACAGCGTGTTAAGACTATCATCAGCAAATGTGTGATATGCAAACGATATAGTGCTCGTCCTGGGGTACAGGATATCGCTCCACTTCCTCCAGACAGAATCCAAGAGGCGCCTTCATTTGCTGCGACCGGGTTGGACTTCGCCGGTCCATTTTTTTACGAAAGACAGGCAAGGTAAAGTTTACATGCTGTTGTTAACGTGTGCGGTCACTCGTGCCTTACATATAGAGATAGTAACTGATCTCAGCACTGAAAGTTTTTTGCTAGCTTTCCGAAGATTTTTAGCTCGCCGAGGACTGTTACCACCGTGTACTCCGATAATGCCAAGACTTTTAAAAGAGCTGATAAAGAACTAAAACATATTTTTAAAACTTTGAGTGACTCATCTGTGAAAGAATTATTTTCTGCTAGAGGCATAAATTGGAAATTTATTATTGAGAGGGGTCCATGGTGGGGAGGGTTTTGGGAGCGTATGGTACGAACCATAAAATCCAGCTTGCGAAAAATTATTGGTCGATCATCCCTTACTGTGAAAGAGCTTGAAACAGTGCTCATTGAAATCGAGGCAATGATTAATTGTAGACCAATTACCTACGTGTTTACCGATCCCAATGAACCTTCTCCACTAACACCCTCTCATTTTCTGGTTGGTAGACGATTGCTATCTCTGCCTGCTAATAAAATAACATCAAATAATTTGATTGGGTCAAGAAATTCAATTATTAAACGATATAAATACCATCAAGATATTTTAAATCATTTTTGGAAGCGTTGGAGATCAGAGTATCTTTTTAATCTGAGATCTGCCAATATTTGTCCTCCACGCTCTAACGCATCTCAGTTTAAAAATCAACGATATTGTCTTGATTCATGACGACAAACATCCCAGAAATCTTTGGACAATAGGTAAAATTTTGGAATTAATGCCAGGCAGAGATGGTAAAATAAGATCTTGCATAATTAAAACACCTACTGGTACCTTAAAAAGGCCTATACAATTGTTATATAATATGGAACTTAACTAATGTTTGTATTTTGTATTTTTAGGTTTGATTCTCCTGACCTTGCTGATAGGTATCATTTAATGTTTTGTAAAATTTTATGTGCTTATAATTATGTATGCATGTTTGTTATATTTAACCATTTCTCCAGGATTTATTGTCGAAATATTAATTGAATATTCTAGAATATATTATTGAAAGATGAACTCTCCACCGAGTTCAGGTGGGGAGTGTTGTGTAATTTGAAGAAAAAGGCTAGAGGGCGCTGTTGCTCGCTTAGTTGAGAGAGAATAAAGTTTGTTCATGTTGAAGGCGGCGGCCTAAGAATACGCTCTGTATATAGTAATTAAAATATTGTTAAAAACGTAAAAGTGTTCAAATTAGTGAACTCACTGAACCACCATCATCTGACGTTGGAGATGCACAAAATTATTAGAGGCAGCTACCATTGCCTTCTACGAAGAGACAGGCAATTTACATCCATGTCTTCTCCGGGATTTGAACCTGGATACTTCGATGTGGCAGTCAGAGTTATTAACCACTTTCCTATCTGGGCAGCAAATTTTAGAAATTGAACTACTTTTTAATAAAAGCAAAGTATCTAAATTTAATTTTATTGCTAAAAGTATTTATATCTCAAATATATTTGCTGACTCGGATTACTAAAGCAATTTTTAGTTTATAAGCATCTTCAGTAACAAAACTGTCTTTGTAATGTATGTATAAAAAAGATTATGATGTATATAAAAGGTTACCAAAGAATATAATTGTTCTTATCTTGAAGAACCAGTAGCATATTTTATTTTAAAATTAGAAATGTATATATTTAAATTTCTTTTAATTTTATTGCTTGCACTTTAAGTATATAAGAAATTTCACTTGCTTTTTTTCATAATCTTCACATGGTATTTATACAGTCAAAAGTCGTTAATCCGGACTCGTCGGGACTTCGGCGATTCTGGATTATCGATTTTTCCGGATTATAGATCATCAGTTTAAATCTGGTAAAATGGCATGCAGAAATTATAAAATTAAAAATATGAAACCGTAATTTACGAAATAAAGAACAATTATGATCTAAAGGGTATCAAAATTTACAAAAAAAAAAAAAAATCTTAATATTATTTGTTTATTTTATTAAACATTTCTTTCAATGTAAGTTGTTTAAGTTGCTTCGTTTTTTATGTGATAATGCATTCTCTTTAATTCTATAAACAGACATAATTTCGTGTTCAGTTACAAAGTTCCGCTGTTCAAGTCCTATAATTGCTGTGCCGAGAATACCGACTAATTTGTCAATCGAAATTTTTTCGTTTTCAATAACCTCTGTTACTTTCTTCGCTATCGGAAGCGAATTATTATGACGAGGCAATTTTATTTAAATCATATCAAAGACGGAGTACATCGAGAATGAAATACTACATTTAGTAAGGAATTATAAGCCAAATAAAATAAAAACATCTGCCCTTAAGATAAGGATAGTGCTGACAGATCAACTTCCAATTCATTGCACGCCTAAAGATAAACAATGGTTAGATAAACAAACGTTAAAGAAGTTTAGATAAACAAAGGATATGCCTTTATTTATTTTTGCAGCAATTCCACTTTTTGTTAAATGGACTCCGAAAGATACTTTCGCTTTGTATATCCTTTACATATTAGTAAATATATATCGGAAATTCTATTTGAAATAATCGAAAATTCAAGCTTACTTTTATAAAATTGCTCTAACAGTCTGCAAAAAATAATAAGCCGGATCCAATTCGAAGATTAAGGAACAACGCAATCTGCAACATTAACTGAAATAGATAATCAGATAATTTTAGCTTAGCTTATCCCGTCTGTTACACATTAAACGCGCATTCGTAAACGTATTTTGCGCACGCCCACACGCAAATTCGCAGCCGTAAAGGTCTTACGCGCATGCGTCAACGCGACGCATGCGCAGAAAGTTTGTAGCTTTGAGGTCCGGATTATAGATCATTCCGGATTATGGGTGTCTGAATTAACGACTTTTGACTGTATATACAGTAATAAAGTCTTTTAATTACCTTTAATAACTTAATGTTTTATATGCGTTATGTTATATATGCACTTTTTTTTTCAGCATACCAAGTCACAAGGAATTTCGTTTCCTTCTTCCTATCATGCATATCGCTTTAATGACGTCAAGTGTTGTTATGTATAGAATATCAACTAACAAACTACGGGTTTTTGGATATGAAGTGAATAAAACTTTTAATGTTATTTTGATAGCAGCAACTCTACTAGTTAATATTCCACTATCTATTTACATGGGTTTATTTCATCAAAGAGGGTCTATAGATGCAGCTTTACGTTTAGCTGATTTAGTAACTGAAAATTCAAATGTTCTTTTTCTAATGCCATGTCATTCAACTCCTTATTATAGGTAAATTGCCTTCTTTTTTCCTTTTAGAATTTATTACGAAATAAAAGGCAGTATATTTCTTATGACTAATAAATACTTATGAATGAAATGTTTTGTTATCATATAAAAATTCTGATTAGTAAAATTTAATTTTTTGAAATGTTTTGATATCAAAAAGCTATGCTAACTCTTAACACATTAGAATTCTTTTTTGAATAACTGATGTAAAACCATAATTTGCTTGTCGTTTAATCTTGTTATGAATAATTAAGGGAAAATAAAGAGAAAAGATGCAAAAGGGAACAGTATGACTATATAAATTTTTTAATATTTTGAAATTTAATTGAACACTGCATTAATTATTAAATCATGTGAAAAACTTTACATAAAATATATGTAATTATTGAAATGTATGTCGCACATTTTATAAAGTTATGCACACATGCAAATATACTATATATGTTTAAGGTAAAGAATGTGGGAATTGAAATCCTAACTTTAATTTGAAATAATTCCCACCATTAAGTCACTTATTTAATTTAGTTATTCAGCCTTTCTATTTTAAAAATAGTAACATGCTTATAATATATCTCTATAAACTGCATAATTTTGAAATTAATCTCTGTCATACTAGTCTTACATAACACTTGACTTTCTAGCCACTGGATCACCTAATTTGAAACATAAATTTTAACTCGATGGATTTAATAAGCATATATTTGATAGAATAGAAAAGCATGAGCATATTTGGTTACAGCAATCCTTACATTCTAAATGGAAGTTCTGAGCTGGATTTGATAGACAGTCCTCCTCCCCCCCAAAGAAAACGTTCACACATTACAGCATTGCAGAAGTTAAGAAATCATTGCATCTCAAGAAATGACAAACTAAATATAAAAGTAACTGCAGTGCTTACACAGCCAATAATATATTAAATTTTGCAAACTGAAACTAATAGGAATAAATACACATTCTCCTTTCCCTAGTTGTTCTGCTAAAATATTGCCCACGGCGTTGCTCCTACTGCTATATATAATTCTGTGTCTGAGGAGGGGAGAAAAATGTGTGTGCAGTGCTTCAAGAACATTTTTTGAACCAGGAAAAAAAAAAAAAAAAAAAAAAAAAAAAAAGAGTGCTAATACAGCCACAGTTGTTCCTCATCTTTATGCACTGTCTGGCCAAAAGTATCTGGACACGCAGTGGCACGGACTCAGAGATATGAGGCATATATTAATATGGTGTTGGCCTCCTCTATTGAATTGATGACAGCTTGCACACGTCTGGGAAGACTTTCCACCAGTTTTTGATAGGTGGCCATAGGAATTGATTTCCACGCATCCATTACAGCTGCAAGGAGTGCTGGTAGTGAAGAAGGTAGATTTGGCTGTCTATGTAATCAGCTCTCTAATTCATCCCAAAGGTGTTCTGTGGGATTTAAATCAGGGCTGTGAGATAGTCAGTCTAGTTTTTGAACACCCGTTTTGTCAAACCATGGCTGTGCAAGTCTCGATGTGTAAATGGAGCAGGTATTCTTCTAGAAGGGAAATGATACTTCTTGAAATAGTGCCATAAAGAGTTGGGAGAGCAGCAGTGTCCAGAATGTCCACATACATTTCAGAGCTCATGTTTCCAGCTGCAGGAACTAAGGGACCCAGGCTAAATCATGGAAAACACCCCTATACCATGATTCTGCCACCACCAAACTTTAGAGTTGGCACAATGCAATCACTTAAGAAGCAGTCGTCAGGCGTCTGGCCAAACTGGACGCATCCATCAGATTGCCAGATTCTAAAGTGCGATTTATGATTCAAAAAGAACGTTTTTCCACATGCCACCCTAGTTCTGACCATAAACGATACCAGCCAGCGATCTGGCTGTGTTCCTCAAATGACACGCCGGGCAGCTTCCGGGAAACCAAAGCTTTTGGGTTCTTGGGGAAGTATGGTTGTAAAGCTGAAACTTAAAGGAATTGACAGAAGGGCACCACCAGGAATGGAGCCTGCAGCTTAATTTGACTCAACACAGGAAAACTTACCCGGCTTGGACACAGGAAGGATTGACAGATTAAGAGCTCTTTCTTGATTCTGTGGGTTGTGGTGCATGGCCGTTCTTAGTTGGTAGAGCTATTTGTCTGGCTTTGTCCACAGTCCAATGACGGGGAGCTTTGCACCATTGCAATCGACTCTTCGCATTCTGTTGTTTCATGTTTGGCTTGTGAGCAGCTGCACGACAATGGAATCCCAGGTTTTTTTAACTCTCGATGAATAGTTCTGCGACTAGCATTAACGATTAATGATGAATTTTGGAACTCCTAAGTGATTTCAACCAACAAGGACTTGCGATTTTGTTTCACTACTCTTTAGTTTTATGGCTGAACTCACTAATTTTTTCGCCTTGCCCCTTCTTTTTCTGCAGGTCCACTGCCTCGACATTTCCACTTCACAATTACATCACTCACAGTGGATTTTGGCTTAGAATGTCCGAAATTTCACAAACTAATTTTCCACAAAGGTGGCATCTCACTATACTGCCATGATCAAAGTTACTAAACTCCTTTGACTTACACATTATCTCACAAATGCTTAAATAAACTCGTAAACCACCATCAACACTTATTGCTTTTGACTAAGCATCAAATCACATCACCTGTCAGGTGATTAGGGCAGTCTCCAAATAATTTTGGCCAGATAGATGCACTATCTGGCAAAAAGTATTTAGACACTGGCTGTAGTAATGCACTAGCCGTAGTCTAGACACTAGCTGTAGTAATGTAGCTGTATCTGCATATATATCACACATGCACAAGATTCATCTATGTCACTATCAAAAATATCTTTCATTATGTTGTATATATATATATATATATATTCAAATTATTAAAATCCTTTGCAGTTGATTTTTGTAATATGGCTACTGATTAATTGGTGCAGTTGTTTAGCTGGAACAAATCTGAAGTACTAATCTGTGTATGTAAAGTGATATAGACTTCTTTTGCTCATACAAGATAGCAATGAATTTAATTTGGGTTTTTCCCTTTAAACTGAAAATGTACTTCATTTCTAGGTACTTTAAAATTTCAAGCGCTTGAAAAATTGCAAACTAAGTGTTGCAATTTTGCAAGGATAACTGACTAATGTATAGGCCATTGCATGTTTTAATAGAATTGGATACTTAACTTAATCCTTAATAATGCTTTTGTTGATCTTTGGATAATAATAATTTTTTCTCTGTTTATTTTGCAATTTATATTATATTAATATTTTGATCAAAGCAATTATTTTGCATCAGTTTTTACAGTTTATTATGAAGGTTGTGCAAACGTATTTTAAAGAGAAATCAAACGATGTACAATTTTTCAAATAACTAAATAAATAAAAATGTTAAATATGTATTTTACCATTTTTAATATCTGGCTATACTGATGAAGGGACAAAACTTCACCAAATTAACTATCAGCCACCACTGGCCCTATGGATACGATTATTAATTTTAGTAGTTTGGCTTAGGTTCAAATTCCTGTGAACAGGGTTGCTGCATAGGAGTTTTAATGGTTTTTGCTATGCTAAATATAAAATGTAGCCAGTTTTCCTTGAAACGTCAATTGCTGTGATCCAATAAATTTGACTCAATTATCTAAATATCTGGTCACTAATCTTTGCTTAAATGAACACATGGTGTTTTTGTTTCATGTAATTCATTTTTATTATTATAAGTAATGCTTTATTCCCTCCCTGTGCTTTTTTCTTGTGAATTTAAAAGCATTCTGTTTTGTATTGTATTGTATATCTATTATTTAAATTCTATATCTAAGAATATTTGCTTTTCTTTTATAGCTATATACACAAGAATATATCTATGAAATTTTTAACCTGTGAACCAAACTTTGAGAATGCAGATGGCTATACTGATGAAGCTGATGAGTTTTTTGAAGATCCTATGGAATGGTTAACTAAAACTTATGACTCAAATAGCAATCAGTTATTGCCTACACATATTGTGATGTTTGATAAACTGTATGACAGCATTTCAATATTTCTAAAGAAATTTCATTATGAACATTGCTTCAATGCATTTCATTCTCATTTTGCAGAGGGAAATGTTGGGAATTTTGTGTATATTTTCTGTAAATAAAATTTATTTAATGTAGCTATAGTAAATAATGTTTATTTGTTTATTAATTTAAAAAAATTCTCATTTCTGTATGATGTAAAACTGTACATAACTTTTTGCAGTATGTTTAAAAATAGTTATTATTAACAGTCATAAATAAGACATTTATTTATATATTCTGATGAAATATATGTAATAATTCTGCAGCTATTGAAATTAACAAAAAACTCTTTAAAACATTAAGAGCTTATTGCTAATAATAGAATATTACTGAGAGAATAATTATAGATACTTTCAGAATTAACTTCTTTACTATAATGGCAGAAAAATTAAAGAAGCAACTATAAAAACGTGGTATACGCTAATTCAACTAAGTAAGTACCACACCTGCCATAAATGCTATGTTGGTAAAGTTTCTCTTCAGGTTTTATTAAGAGGGTGCTACCCCCGGGCTACTAGAGCCACACCGCTCTAGGACTCGCCAGACCACCAGGCCGGCCAATGACCATTCCGAGGCCTTCAGAACCGCTAGGTTCATAATTTTTACACTCCCGTAGCCGGGATTGCCTAGGTACAGATCCTGGCCAGTAGCTTCGCAGAGTTCTCTATGTCGACCCCCCGGGGAGAGCGGCTGGCGAAGGAAGATGTGCTTATATGGAGCTCCGTTTCTTTGATTAATTAAATACGGATAATGATCTAGTGAGATCTTTTATTTGTCTTGTACGCATGATCCTTTGAGATACTTGTTGGATACCGAATTTGTACTTCTGCAGTTTTTCTTTTTCAAGACTAATGTTTTTGTGTTCATGCACTTTGCTTCTCACCAGTGTTTGTAATTTGTTATAATGAGAGTACGCAGTTGTTGAAATTTCGTGGTGATTTCTTTGAATACTTTATCTAGACTAAGAACAACTTCTCTTCTCAGTTTAATTCCTTATAGCAATTCATAGTTTCGTTATACTTCATCTGCTTGGACGAACCAAATAATTAACACCTTTTAAAATATTTCACATAGAGACTGTCGCTTCCAAAAATATGCCAACCCATCCACACAGAGTACAGTTAAGCGCTGCTTAGAGCAAGGAGGTTGCAGTAAATTCTTTTCTACAGTTTCATGTTATAGGGCATGATATTGAGCAGTATGAAAGTGATTTAAAATCCCCTTGCTCTAAAAAAATTTTAGTGTGATGAAATATTATTATAACTGTGGTGAAAATTTTTTTTTCATTGGAGAAATTATTGAATTTGATTTCTTATGAGGTGGAACCTCAGGCTTTGAGGCCTTGCATTAATTCTTTTACTGGATTTTGAAACATTCACTTCCATACTAAACATATAACGAAGATTAACAAACAATCTTAAGTTCCAGATCTTGGGAGATAATTGATGTACAGGGTGGTTATAATTAAAGTTCCACTTTGCCATAAAAGGGAAACTACTGGACCAAATGCTATCAAACTTTTAATCGTGTAAAGGAAGCTGTGGGAATTTATTTTCCGTGAAAAAAAGGGAGTTAAAAAACTCACCACCAGAGGCGAAATGGTGGTGTATGCAGTAGTATTAAACGAAATAAGGGTCGGAATCTAAGTTAACCTTTTGTTACACAGGTTTAACAGGCTTCTATGCCCTTAAGAAACACTGACCTAAACAAAATTTCCATTTAAAGGCGATAAAAATCGAGCGTGCCATAACTGGACGATTTTCAAGAGCAGTCGACAGCTGGATCTGTTACATGCACTGTGACTGCTGCTCGCTTAGCATCAATGTTAAGACTTTTCATGATACCTGAACTGCAGCAACATGGTATTTTAGACACCACGATTTTTAGGCAGGACGGGGCCCCACCGCGCATTGGTACATGTGTCACACAGTTACTTAGACAACATTTCGCGAATGAACGGATTATAGGCTGACACTTCGCCACTTCTTGTGACTTTTGGCTATGGGGTTACCTCAAAAGCACTGTTTATCGTGTTAATCTAAACAGTTTCGCGGAATTGAAAGATGCGATGCACCGACATGTCTGTAACATTTCTCCCGATATGCTAAGAGCTGCTGTTGAGAATGCAGCAATGCGATTTAACTTGCTTTCGGAAAATGGTGGACGCCACATTGAACATGCTTTGTAACACTTTTCAGAAGGGATTAAACATATTTTAAACCAATGTCTTCATGTCTTATTCCATTTAAAAATATTGCATACACCATTTCCCCCCTGGTGGTGAGTTTTTGAACTTCAGTTTTTCGCGGAAAATAAATTCCCATAACCTCCTTTGCAGGATTACCAAGTTTGGTTACATTTGGTTTCGTAGTTTTCTTGTTATGACCATATCGAGGTGGAACTTATAACCACCCTATATATTGATCGTAGCAGAAATGACTGGTTTGACTTTTGCTCGATCTTCATGTGAAAACGTATTATAGTCGAGTACGAAGGCATGTGTTTTATCAATTCTGCAAAATGACTAGACTTAACAGCTGTAGATTTTAGTGGACAGTCGTGCTTCCGTATAATAACATATATCTAGTTGAACGGATTTCTCTCGCGTTGTCATCGGATATTAAATGGCTTACTTTAGAACTAGGGCGTAGAGTTTTCAGAAATTAAAACAAGTGCAAAGCTGAGGAAGCTATTGTGCATAAGTTCTTTCTTGTTTGAATTTTACTTTAACTGACGTTATAAAAAATTCTGTACTGTATTTTGATTCATAAGGAGTCGGTCACATGGAATTTGTCTAGCTCTGCTAAATATAGAATTAGAAACAGCACATTTTGTGTCTGCATTTTTGTTTTTGGTTTACTTGCATAATTTTTTGTATGAAATGCATGCAACGGTTTTTGGTTTAATATTAAATTCATGAATCTAAAACATTTTCATTTTATATTAACACTTGGTTTTTCATTAGTGAAACCTTCATTTTTGCTATCTCATGGATGGCCTTATAAAGGTGGCTTAATTCTTGTGCTACCACTTGCATTATAACATGGAAGCTTTTTGTATCATGCTGCAATTTAATCAGATATTATTCCAGTAAGTGTAACTTACCTTGGTAGCATCGTAGAAAATGCTAAGATCAGATTATAGTTATTTACAGGACCCATCAATGGCCATTGTAGAGAAGAACATCAAACACCTGCTATTCGATTCAGATTCAAATTATGCGAATGGCTGATTGCATAGGTGCTTTCATGGCTTTGCTTATTTGTAATGTAAATACGAGCTAGCTTCCCTTAAGCATCTCTTCGCTTAGTTAAATGACCTTTTTGCACTTTGCTAGCTACTGTAATTTTTTTAAATAAAAAAAGGCAATTTGTGTGTACTAAAGGGTAATTTTGAGAAAAATTAATGACAGAAAACCAATTTAAAAATTTATTAAGTTACATTCTGTTCATACAATCTCTTCAATATTATAAATATGAAATACATACCGTAAGGAATATAGCATCATGTTAACATTTTACTCTATCTATATATATATTTACTAATACAAAGAATAAAGTCTATTCATATATTGCAGTGTATGAAAATACATTCAGTTGTTTATCATTAAGCAAGGAGCAAAATTCTTCAGAGTAAAATGCTTAAGCAGAATTAAATATTGTTTACTTCTCTTTTATGTAAAATTCACAATGTGAAAAGTAATTATGAATTATGACTTTTGAGCTTGTATTTCACATTATTTTTTACTTCATAGTGGTGACTGCTACATTATTGCATTTTGAAGAGTTTGAACAGACTCTGTTCACTTCATAGTATAATGAAATCAAAATTTATGTTGGAAGTTTTTACCACCAATAGGGATTGATTTATTCAATAGCAAGCAAAATGGTGTCAACATCTTGCCTGCCCTCTTTTGAATAAAAGTTAATGTCCGTACTTCTCTACCTTCTGTGCTTCATGCATCCGCTAAAATATGTACGAAACTGGCATACCACTTGTAAGGTAAAGCAATATTTAGAGGATCATAGGTGTATTTCTATTAAAAATTTTAAGTCATTAACGTGTTGGTATATATATACATAGATGGATCTTTAAAGAAAGGCTACAAGCTGCAGCATTTAGAAAGTAATTATTGTGAATTATCGCGGAGGAAATATTTTCCCCAAAAGTGTAGACAGATGGCGCTAATTGTCTTACAGCGGTTGGGCGGGTAGGTAGTGTAAGTTCGCAGACACGTTAGAGCGATTAAAAATGCAAGACGTTTAGAAAAGTGGTCTCGTTTCGAAATGCCAACCGTCATTCTTTCTTATAGGCAAAAAATGTGTCCTTGTCTGAAATTCACTGTCAAATTATGAAAATTCAGGAAATTGTAACGAAATGGTGCTCGGACAAAAAAGTTGTGGGAAACCGCAACTGGCTGCAAGCACCGTCCATGTTCTTCAACGACAGAAAATCAACATGGCATGAGTTAAAGAAATGATCAACGGGTAACTGTGCCTGCAATCGCGTCAGAGTTGAGAATGAGCTGTGGTCTGTGTAACGTATCCTTTCTGATATGTTGGGATATTCCAGGGATTGTGCCGGCTGACTACCACTTGCGTTATCCGAGGAGCGCAAAGCCACACGAATTATGTGCAGCTTCAGGTTTCTTCAGCGTTAGCATTCTAACAGCCAGCACTTCACTAATCACATCGCTAACCAGAAACAAATCATGACTTCATCATTTCACTCCCACAAGCAATAGAGCCACTATGGAGTGAAACAGTCTGGATTATCAACCAAAAAGAAGCTTAAAGTTACATCCTCTGCCGGTAAAATGATGGCAACCATATTCTAGGATTCATGCGGTGTTTATCCTAACCGCGTATTTCATACCGTTACGATTCATACCATCGATACTTAAATTGTGTCGTTTTGACAAGGTGTCGTGAAATTATCCGACGCAAACATCTTGGGATGTTGAGTGATGGTGTCATTCTCCTACATGACAACGCCAGGCTCCATGCTGCTCGCCGAACTCAAGAATCTCTGCTGAATTTCAAGCAGGAAGTCTGGAGCCAAGTCCAGATATGGCACCCAGTGACTATTTCCTTTTTCAAAAATTGAAGGAACTATTACTTGGATCAAGGTTGTCTTCAGACAATGAAGTGAAAATAGCTGAATGGGTAGAGATGTTATTTCTACCAAGCCGGATTAAATAAGTTGGTTCTCGTTCTGCATAATATAGTGATTATGTTGGAAGGCGATTGTCAAGTATGCCTCCTAATTTCCTTTTTTGTATTTTATGTCTATTGTTAATAAATAGTTTTTTATTACCTCTGTATTTTATTATTTTATCTATTTTGCATCCATCCTCGTATATATAAAACTTAAAGCTGTAATTTTAATGAAATATTAATTCAAGGCTTTTGCTTAATATAAAACGGTAAATAAGGAAATGTAATTTTGTTGCAAGAAAAATTTAAATTTAATTCAACGGATAGTTCACAGTTAACGTCATAAAATCAATATATGCCAGGCAAAATGTATTGCTACAGAAATCAATAAATATTGGAATTCTTCACATATTTTTTGGACAAATATATAGTAATTGACCATTCTATTCATGCATAAATCATGATTTACTCCACAGACGGTTTTTGGTGCCTTTTTCTGAAGAAAAAATCTTTATGTTGCTGTTCATTAAGTTTGCACAGGAGCTGATTCTTATAGAAGTGGCAGTTGTATGATCAATGAACTGAAAATCAGTTGTTGATGAACAACTGATTTACAGTTCTTGAAAAGTTGTGGGCTGTTCTTCAGTACTTTCACTAAAACTTGACAATTAAAATAATTTTATCAGGTACCTCAAAACCAGTGCTTTTTATTCATGCTACCGGCAAAGTATGAAATCCGGCATTCTAATAGAACATTTAGGCATTCTAATGGAACATTTAGGTGTTTTACTAGAACATTTAGGCATTTTACAGAATGCCGAAAACTGGCTGGCAACGTATGAAGTGATTAAAAACGTTTCACACATAGCCTAAGCATTCCATAGAATGCCAAATTACAAACCGGAAAAGTGTGAAATACATCTCTGATGTGTTCGAATAACGACTACGTACCAGAAGTTAATAAATGATGTAAAAAAAGCTAAAATGACTACTAAAAAGGAATAACGGGACTATAGGGCGCAGAATCAGCTGTGATGTGATGTTTGTGGGAAAAAAAGTGTAACTCGTTTGTTCTGTTAAAGAAGGCTTCAGTACTAGGTCTCGGACACTGAGTTATTTCATGAAACTCATTTGGCTGTTGGATACGGAGAACGTAACGGAATGTTCAAAGAACTTTAAAAAGTTACACGTAATGATATCAAATGGCATATCCACCTTTGTAAACCCTTCCAGAAAAAACAAAAAAATACTGAAAAGGGCATTGTTGTGAAACCTTTCATTTTTTCTGAATTCAATTCCTGAGACTACGTGGTCCTCGCTTCGAAATCCATACCGTACAGGTGTGACGTGCAGGCGCCAAATCGTCTGTAGATGACTTAGATACTGGTCTGGGTGTTGTAAGTAGTGCAGCCACCATACTGCGATCTACTGAGACTCGTCCTCTGGCTGGAAGTTATCAGGTAGATAGAATAGAAAATTATTATGATGTATAAGGATCATCTTATAGCAGTCTTTCGTTACTTTTTTAAAATAACATTTGTATGTTTGAGCAATTAACGTCTTTTAAATAATTGCCTTGTTTAAATAGAATTTGTCGTTCTAATGAATGTCTAGGTATTGTATACAATGCTTAGGTAAAGTATATAATAATTCTCATATTTCATATTTAGCCTTAAAATCAGCAGGCATTCTATGAAATGCTTAGGTATTCTAGTATTTAAGCAGACGTCTCATACATTGCCTGTAACATATGATTATAATCTGAATCACACACAGCTAAAAATCATTTATTTAGAAAGGGAAAGGATATGAAATGGCTGCAGGGTCACATCACACCTTCTCGAACATCATTGGTTCATCATTTAATTTAGTAATAACATGCAATATCTTTTAATTCTGTGATAATTGTTCTAATATACTTCAATAATAATTTAATCCATGTTTAATTTACAAATGTATTTGCAGATGCTCTGAATGTCTAAGATTACGTGATGCCATTTTTTTATTCGGTTATCTTTTTGCATAATAAAAAATATCAGAAGTTGTGTATCTTTCTTTAAAATCGCTTTCCTTGTATTTTAATACATATGGATCAATTTGCAGTATATCGTATTGCACTGTTCAGTAATACCTCGCAGAGTAATCGGTTTCTCCGATATCTTTGAAACCTGTCAAATCAAGAAAGTTCATGACATAATTAAAATATGGATATTTAGCTTCACATTCCCCCCCCCCCCCTTGTTTTACAATAAAAATGTGATTTGGAAGTTCATATACCTTTATTAGAAACAAATTTAAAAAGTGCCTGTTTTTCGTAATAATTTTTATTCTCTAAAAGTTCCAATATCGATTTTCTGCACGAGTCTCTTCTTTGTTTCCTTTTCTTTATAATATATTAGTTAGCGTCTGGCGAATTGCAAGGCTACGTTTAATATTGAAATCAGCTTTTCTAATATGCCCAGGTCTCCATCCTAATAGTTTATGGGAGTTGTTTTCTCATTACAGACACTTCAACACAGTCGTCGTTGTCTAAGTTGTCCTCCTATTTTATGTGTATGTATTGTTTATCTATGTTAATAAATCCGAAAAAAAAAAAAATTGCAAGAAAGAGAATTTGACAAACTGGAGTAGAGTGAATCCGGGCTGATCGAAGACGGACTACACGAGGTATTGCTGTACGTTTTTGAAATGTTTGGCAGTGTGTTCAGTCTTTTGTGCCTGAAAGTAACTTTTGCACAGCAGTGTACGTTATATATAAAGTATACACGTACTTCTATGTTCAAAACGTTAGCGGAGAATACCCGTAAGGAAGTTTCACTGCCTAAAAATGCTGCCGCCTTAGAGCCATCTTGGTAAGTGAAATTAACTTTACCGGGGGGTGTGTGTGAAAGATGCTTTAACTCCGTTTGCATTACAGCCTGAAACCACACTGTCCTGAACGATGTTGCTGGTAACTTCATACATTTCATCTACAAAGAGGACGCTGACACCCTCTGATAAACAAATTTAAGTATTGGAAGTTTCACTCACGTGACAAATTTTTCGCGAACATTTTGAACAGAGAAATACACGTAATTATGTATCTGAGAGAATAATTACATATGGAATGTATACAATTTTGTATTTTTATCTATTAAGAAACTGGATGAAAATTATATTTTTTCAGATTGTTTTTGGAAGAAAATTTTTTATTTATTTGTAATCTTTATTATTATTATTATTATACTTTTATTTCTTTTGATGAACTGAAGCAATGAAAAAATAAATTGTAATTATGTTATTAAAATTAAACGGTAAGAGTATTTTTAAAAAGTATGCTTAATACTGATCAATTCTTTATGAACACGTTCTTACTTTATATTATTTAGTCATACAAATGTGACTTTGCTTCCATATTGAGAAGTTTGAGGAATAGCATTCACTGTATTTAATGCCTGTAATGCAAGTCTGTTTGCCAATCTTGCTCTGTTCATGGATGCCAGATACTGATCTTGAGCCATATTTATGTATCTTCTGTATTTTTTGCATTCTTGTTGCTCTTTTGCTTCTTTTTGCATGTACCGAATCATCATAAATCCAATGAAAAAGGAGTAGAAGAAAAGAACAACAACAATATAGATGACTGCATCTTTTTGAGAATTACTGAAGTCATTCGTTGAAATATCAGCTGGATTAGAGTTTTCAGCATTACTTGCATTCTCCATGTACTGACGGATTAGTTGAGTAATGTTTGGACAATTAGCTATGATTATTAATCCCCGGCTGGAATTGTGGATGCCTTTACTCTTGGCTGTAACGTTTCGCACCATTATTCCAATGGAACTGCTTTGCAGATTTCGATCTATGACATCAATACCTCTTTTACTCCGGAAAGTCTTTCCAACCTGGAATATTTATAATTCATTACGATTAGTAAATTAAACATTATCACTACTGTTTTATTAATAGAGTTATATATTTGAAAGGAAACAATTACAAGTAACTCCCGTTAGAACACGATCGGTAAGTTCTTAAAATAGGTCACGTTGTGTGAATTCATGCTATATAAACCAAAGAACTAGCACAAAAAAACGAGTTCCAAATCTTAAAACGTAAACTCTACCATTTTAATTACGGCGAGAGAGAGAAATACTCATATTAAAAGATAATTGATCAAAAATAAAGGTTAGATATCAAAGTTACATACTGTTAAATTCGTCATCACTACTAATCACATCAAACGAGGGCATTTCAGTTTTGGGTTAAATATCCCCATTTTTCGAACTTTTTTTCGTGGCATTTGGCTTTTCTACTCTACTTTTATATGGATATAAAAGTGTTTAAAAAAAAATTGCTGCCGTGCCCAAAAAAAGTGCTGCCGAAATGAGATGGTGTTTGTGACTCTGACTACTGAACCGAAGGGTCCGATTTGGAATCCCGGGATTCATGGATGTTTGCAAATGTATACTGTCTTGGGCATTTAAATCCTGACTAATTTACATTCTGACGAGGAAGCTGGAAGAAATCGAGACAACAGGATAGAATTAGTTTAAAAATAATTGAAATGAATTTGTATATTTGTAACTGAATATTAAACAGATCCTTTTCAAACGCGTAAATACGATTAAAGTGCTGTCAGTAGTGATACCACTAAATGATGCAGTGCCACCAAATGATGATGAAGTTTCCAAAGTTAACAAACACATGCTAGAAAATATTTTTCATTACACAATCAGATTGCAGGTGAAATTTAAAACTGCATCAATCTGGTACAGAGTACGTGGACAAATAGTACAACGTTGCTTTTAGTGTTTCTGTTATTTTAACAGCCACAGAACAATAAACTTATGCTAAACTGAATGCGAGGCTTATACATCTCAGTCCTTACCACATAAAGGGGAGCGATACACGACCAAGCACTCAGCGATTATCTTCAGATAATAAAAGAGAAATGGGAAGCGATGTGTCGCTTAGAGCCATAAACAAGGCGATAAATCTTTATCACCATCAGCGGATTCCATACAGTGTTACCAATTTGTTTTCTCACTTTCATGGGACCCATCAAGAGGAAAGAAAACTGTTATCGCTTCGGGATAATCCTACAGACTTCTTGATTAGAAAAATTAGGACACGGATGAAAGCACTTTGCACAGAAATAAATTGAAAAAATGGAACAGTTCTTGGTGGTGGATAAAATGCTTCAGTGCAGGATTCTAGACCTCCAGAATAAATGTCCTTTGGGAAAGTGAGAAATAGGACTTTTCACTGCGTTAGCAAGAAAAACAAATTGACGTATATCCTGATTTTCATTAACGAATAAGTTATGCATGATGAGTTTATTCACAAAAATGGTATTAATGCATCAGGCGCGGAAAGAAAAATGTATACATAATCTTCATTTTTATTGTAAAATATATGAGAAATTAGTAAATTGATTCTATGGATCTTCAGTTATTATGTTTAGGATGTTTGTCATATTTGTATGTTAAGAGATTGAAACATTTTGAATGATAAATGATTATTAAATTATCTGATATGATTTTATTACAGCAATTATTTTGAAATATTGTAAGGATCTTAAGTTTTACTAACGTTTATTTTATTTTAAATCTTTACTATCACTTCTTATTTTCTACCTCCGGCCAGAATTAAAAGCTTTAACTTATTTATGCAAAATTTGTCTGGCGAACGCCAAGTACTTAAGTTGTGGCTTTTTGCCAAGCGAGAAGAGAGGAAGGAGTTAGTCGAAGCAGGCCGCTTACCTTAGCAGTTTTACTCGGTTGCTGGTTGCCTTCCAGGCCAGAGGTTTAATCCTCGTGATAATTTTAAACGTATTGTAGTGTTAACAGTTCTCTGTACTACATACGGCTTCCTGTTAATATACGGCCAATCTTCCACGTAGGCCCTTGTTTATTATTCCAAAGTTAAGTTAGAGTTTAGTTAAATATTTTTATATTCTTACGTTCAGAGCACAAGTAGTTGGTCTCTGCATTCCGAAGTACGGAAATGATTGTAAAGAGTGAAAAATGGGTTTCGTATACCCTTCCTGTGTATCTTGTCTACTTCCCACATTTATTGAACATAGATTTAGTAAGCTCCCTGTTCCGAGTCAGGTCTGTGCATGTTCCCAAAGAAAGTAAGGAGAAACATTGAACCTGATAGTGGCGCCCAACGAAGAAGAATAACCATGGCCGAGTTTCAAGAAGAACCTGTGCTGCCTGCAGAAGCGGCTCAGAATCCAGAAATGCCAGCTGCCGCCCTGGAAGGATTTGGTTACATCGTCCAGACCATGCGCGCAGCGATGAAACCAGAAGAAACATTTAATGGAATCTCACCGGTTACCAGTTTTTTGGAAAAACTGGAGGACCACTTCATGATGTATCCCGTGCACGAGTTCCAAAAAGTGACCTTAGTTACCAGCGCTTTGAGGGTCCAAGCGCTTAATTGGTTCAAATGCATAGGCAGAAGTCTCTTGGGTCAAGCAGGAAGTCCCACCTATACTTACGAAAATTTCAAGACTGCCCTAGTAAAAGCCTTCCCTGTCGTAAGGGATCGTGCGAAATTAGAAGCGGAATTTTTCAGCATATATCAGCAAAGAATCGAAAATCTTTCCATCTTTATTTTAAGAAAAATTCACGTCTTCAAACTCTTGTATGGAAACCGTCCGGATCCTGAGATAATTCAAGTGATTTTGCCGAGGTTACTTCCCCAAGTGCAAGACTTTATTGAATTAAGGAATCCGACTACACTGGAAAAGTTATTCGAGCTAGCAATCCAGTTTGAAAGTAGAAGAACGGCGGACATTGAAAGAAGACGTCAATATCAACAACGAAACCAATTTGGTGCGCCAAGACCACAGCAAAGTCAAGCACACGGCTACGGAAGCAAAGCGAATCAGTGGGCAAGGAAACCCGAGCATCCAAAAACAGCCGGCGAACGTCGACAGTTCAATAGCAATCCAGGAAAAAAGTCTCAAGGCCAGTGGAAAAAGAAGGAAAGCATGGAAATGAAAAATGATTTGAAACTAAAAACGGATTTCTGCTGACGGGAGGGTGCGGAAATCCGAAGGCCAAGAAAACCCCTCTTCCTTCAAGTTAAATACAGTAATGGTGAAAAAGTTTGACTCTTCCGAAGATTGAAGTGTTGGTGAATAATATCCCAGCCACCGCACTCCTGGATACAGGCGCGCAGTGTTCCTGTGTGGCAGAAGATTTTTTTAGGAAGTATTTTCGGAAATACCGCATATATAATTCGGATAATACGACAGTGTTAGCTGCGCAAGGAGAAAGATGTAAGTGCATAGGTAAATTACCGCTATACGTCCGTATCAAGGACGAACAAGTAAAGGTTATGTTTTTTATAGTAAAGAATCTGCAAGCACATATTATCTTAGGAATAGATTTTCTTTCAGAGGCACAAGCAACGCTGGATTTTAATGAAGCGTCCCTTAAGCTGACGATGAAACCAGTTCGAGAAGAAAAGGCGGAACCGCCGATGTTAAACCTTGACCACCTGCCTAATGAAGAGCAACAAAAGAATCCGACAAGTGGTAAGTGAATTTGCTTCGTTATTTAGTGATATTCCAGGATTTACTCAAGTTTCTAACCATAGTATTGACACCGGAGATTCAATGCCAGTTCACCACAAAGCATACCGGTATGATAAGAATAAAGAAAAAATTATAGAATGGCACATCAGCGATATGCTACGTAAAAAGATCATAACGCCCATCTCAAGTAGTTATGCTAGCACGGTAGTTTTATGTAAGAAAAATAATGACTATCCATAAACACATCCAAAAAGGTGGCGTTTCGCGATCGACTATCGTAAATTAAACTCCATAACTAAATATCCGGTATATCCGTTACCTATTATTGAAGAAAATAGCATTAAATCGGAATTTCCAAATGAAATAATTGGCATCGATTTATTGAGCCCTTTTCCGAAAAGTCAGTTAAATAAAAGTCGGTATCTCCTTGTTATGGTTGATCATTTTAGTAAGTGGACCGAAATTGTTCCCTTAAAACGAGCCTCCGCGAAATTAGTTACTGATTCTATTTTAAATAAATATATTTTAAAATACGGGGCGCCCCTAAAAGTGATATCGGATAATGGTCTTCAATTTGTAAGTAATATATTTGAAGACATGTGCCAAAAACTGGGCATACGTCATTTAAAAATGGTCCCGTATCGGCCGCAATCAAATATAGCGGAACGGGTCAATAGAAATATAGTGAAAATTATCCGTAGTTATGTTAAAAATTTTCATAAAAGCTGGGATAACTATGTCAATGAATTTGCTTTCGCCCTTAGGACCGCAAAACATGATACAACGGGCAAAACTCCTGCTGAGTTATTTTTAGGCAGAAAGATTATAACGCCGTTAGATAAATTATTTTATGTGCAACAAAGAGCCCCAGAATTTAAAATGGGTGATATAGAAAAATTAATTAAAGAAGCAAAAAAAAAAGAATACTGAAGTAGCACAGAGAAAACAAAAACTTTATTACGACTTGAAACGACGGGGAGTAACTTATAAAGTAGGAGGATGAAGTATTAAAAATTAAGCATTCACTTTCTTCAGCACCAGAAGATAAAAACCGCCAAATTTTTTCCACGATTTGAAGGACCATATGTCATAGAAAAAATAACTCACGCTGTAGTGGTGTTAAAAGCCAGGAATGGTGAAACATGCTCCGCAAACATTGATCAAATAAAACCCTACTATGACCGTAATAAAATGCAAATATTCACAGATCTTTTGCAGGATCCGGCACGGCAGGCACGGCAGGCACAAGCTCCAGAGGTGGAACAACGACAAGTACAAGGGCAAGCCATTAGGAGGCAGGAGCAATTGAAAAGAAAGTTTCCACGTTGGAAATATGAAGGTAACAAGAAAAAGAAG